AAAGTGCTTAACAACAACAATCAATGGGAGTAAAATTAAAGAGAAAAAAAATACAATACACTAATAATAATAACTGAAGAATTAATAAAAAGCATTTAAAACATAGGGTCACAGATTAAAAAACACTAGATCAATTTACACTGTATGAAATGCCTGAGAGAACAAATGTGTTTTAAGCAGGGATTTGATGTGAGGAAGGGAGGTGGCCTTCCTGATGTTGGGGGGCAGGTTGTTCCAGAGTTTGGGGCCCATGACTGAAAAAGCCCGATCTCCTCTGAGCTTCAGTTTTGTTTTTGGAGCAGCCAAAAGCAGCCGATCGGATGATCTCAGGGCCCGAGAGGGAATGTAAGGTTCCAGAAGCTCAGAGAGGTAAAGGGGTGCAAGGCCATTTAAGCATTTGAAGGTCAACAGAAGAATTTTAAAAACTATCCTCATACGAACAGGGAGCCAGTGAAGGGAGGACAGAACTGGTGTAATATGTTCAGACATATGAGTTCCGGTTAAAAGCTGGGCAGCAGCATTCTGGACGAGCTGAAGACGTGAGATGGAGGCCTGGCTGATCACAGCATACAGTGCATTGCAATAGTCCAATCGGGTCGTGACAAAGGCATGGACTAGTTTCTCAAGGTCGGGTCTGGACAATACTGGCTTGAGCTTAGCTACCTGTCTGAGTTGGAAGAAGCTTTTCTGCAGAACAGAGTTAATTTGTTTGTCAAACTTGAAGTCAGAGTCTAAAATCATCCCGAGATGTTTACCAGACTGCTTAAGATATGGCTGAAGAGAGTCCAGGTTGACAGGATCAGTGGTGGCAGTTGAGCTAGGGCTAAAGACAATGACTTCAGTCTTCTCATTGTTAAAACTTAAGAAATTTGAAGCCATCCGGGCCTTAATGTTGTCCAGACATTTTAACAGAGGGTGAATGGAGCAAACACTTGCTGGTTTCACAGGCAGGTAGATCTGACAGTCATCAGCATAGCAATGGAATGAAAGACCATGTTTCCTCAGGATGGACCCCAGTGGGAGCAAATAAAGTGAGAACAGAAGTGGTATAAGAATCGAACCCTGTGGGACTCCGCAAAAAAGAGGTAATGAGGCGGATATATTATTACCAACCTTGACACAGAAACTCCTGCCACTCAGGTATGAGCAGAACCATTCTAATGCAGCACCTATGATCCCAACCCACTGTTCCAGCCGTGATATAAGGATACTGTGGTCAACAGTATCAAAAGCAGCAGTAAGGTCCAGGAGCACAAGTACCACAAATTGACCAGAATCGTTTGATATAAGATCGTTACAAACCCTTACTAATGCTGTTTCCGTGCTGTGGAGTTGCTTAAAACCAAACTGAAAAATCTTGAATATTCTGTTCTCATTCAAAAACTTGTTTAATTGAATGAAAACTATTTTCTCCAGGATTTTGGACATATTTTGTGATTGGTCTGAATTTTGAGCAAGTGGAAGGGTCAAGTCCAGGTTTCTTAATTAACGGATGAACTACTGCATGTTTGAAAACATTGGGAACCACACATGTCACAATACTACTATTTATAATAGTAAGAACACTGGGTTATAGCAACATGTGAAGGTTTAAACTCTGTGGAAGCAATTAAGTTTAAAATTTTGATTTAGGTGAGGTTTGCTGGTATGTTTTTAAAATCTACATCTCTGCTATAGCCTAAACTTAACAACCCGTTCTCCTTGGACCAAGCAGTGACCCTGACAAGGCCAGATCCTCCCATATTGCTCCGACACTGACAGATAATGACGCCATTATCAACTGGTTGTCCTCAGCTGCCACCAATTTACTGTAAGGTGGAAAACGGTCATGTTGAGGAGGCTTCGAGACTCCTGTTGGAGGAGGAAAACAGTAAAAGGGAGCCTCATCAGGGTAGTTATCCACAGAGGATCAAACATTTTACCATCCAGGATCTGTCAGTTCCTTTCGTTCAGTGATGATGCATGTTTTCACTCAGATTCTTATTGATCCTGAAAGTCTTTTATAATCTGAGCATGCTTTTCCCACATCTCTTTCTTTGTAAGAAGCAGAGACTTCACAACACAGTCTTCCATAAAACTTCACAAAACTTCATTACATTTTAACCATAAAAACAGTTGAGCTCTGGTGATTGAGACTCAGCATGAATTCAGGGTAAAGTGGGGTACAACTCGTCAGGTTGCAAGTCAATATTTCAGAAGCTCCGGCAGTCCACTTGGAGCCAACCCTCATTCCTTGCTTCCTCTATGTTAATCAGCGATCTACTGCTATTAGATATGCTAATTGAAGCTTTTGTGAAGTCATCTCTGTTCCCTGTCTGAAATAAGCAGTCTAGATGCTGGATTTGGCTGTTTAAACATGGCAATTACAACATCTTCACTGGTCTGGTTCATCTTTATAACACCGCCCCCAGCCCCTTACATAAGCAGTCCTTTCCTTTGGTTTTAACACTTGGTGCTATAGCAGCAGTTGTTTTTCCTGGGCTGAAGCAAATGTTATGGTGCATGAAACAAAAATAAGTTCTTAGTCAGACGCTGGTTTTAGAGCAGCATTAAAATCCTTTCTGTACCCCCATCAAAAGATCAAGCTCTTAATATATTCAGAGCAGCATCGCACTTCTGAATATTTACATGCAAACTAAGAGCAACACAATGAGTTACTCATATTTTAAAGGAACTTTTTTCATGGACTGCACAGTTAGGAAGCAAATATAAAATCTGGAGAAAAGCTCAAGATGAGAAAGAGATGGTTTCAACAAAAAGACCAAAATCATAAACACAGTTTTCTAATACAAGCAATAAGCTTTTATTTTTATTTTTATGAGGAACAGGTTGACAGTTTCTTTACATTTATTTCATACCAATGTTGAATTTACGGTAAATGGACAGAAAATAGGAAAATATATCATAATTTTACCTTTTTTAGTGATAATTTCTTCTTGAAAAGATTCAATAACATTATGGCCCTAGCAAATCATTGTATGCCACAGAAGTTATGCACAATATAGAAAATAAGAGATTTTTATTTGGTATGAATGTGCAGAATTTAAAGCTCATAAGTAAACAAAGTACAGAGAAACCCATGATTCTCTGTCAGCATGCAGTGATCTGGCAGCATATCATTAACCTCTGAGCCAACAATTTATTACACATATCCCATCACAGCAATGCTATTTTTGCATTACGTCTAATCTTGTTGTCTTCTATTGGAAGTCTACGACCCTAAAGCATTTAGCAATGCAGCAGGAAGCCAGACAGGCAGAACAGTAGTCCAGAGCAAGAGAAATTAAATGCTACTGGCATTTCATACAAACTGCAAAACAATCAGAGGAAAAAAGTTAAGGGTGAACTGAAAAGCAGAAAAACTGTAGTTATTTTTATAGTGTGGAACAAAAGGAAGAGACATGTCTGGTTGCTTTTTATAAAGACCAGGTGCATACTGTATGTTTTAATGATGGAAACAGCGATTGAGAGCCCCGTATAAATTTAGGAAGGAAATATTTTCCTTGCGTTCTGAAATACCAGCTGAGGAATGTAGAGCAGGTATTTATGGTGCTTTTATTTACTGTCAGAATTTATTTTTCAGGGATGTACATATGGTACACATTTATGATGATCTGGTAAATGATTTATTCTAAACAGTTTATTGCAAGGAGCCATTGCTTACAATTTTATGTTATTTATTTATTTATTTTTTAGAAGAAAAACTAAAATGCAAAACTTTGATGTAAAAAAAATAGATTTATTTTACGTGGAATAATTATGGTAGACATAAGTTGACCGCTGGAGTATTGTAACACCAGCGTATTTATAAGGCAGTTTTATGGTTAAAATGCAAAGTTTCAGATTAAATTTATCGTGCACAATATTAGCAACCAGGCAGCACGGTGACTCAGCTGGTAGAGCTGTTGCCTCTTAGTGAAAAGGTTGCCGGTTCAAATCCTGGCTTGGGACTTTTCTGGGTGGAGTTTGCATGTTCTTTTCGTGCATGTGTGGGTTTTCTCCAGGTGCTCCGGTTTCCGCTCACCGACCAAAAACATGCATGTTAGGCTGATTGGTAACTCTAAATTGTCCCTAGGTGTGAGTGAGAGGGACATTTAAAAGAGGGACCTGTTCTGGATAATGAATGGATGGCTGAATACTAGCAATCTTGTCTCTAGAGGTTTCCATTTTTTAAGTTGATTAAAAAAATTATCAAGTCAAAAACTGAGTGTTTTTTTAAATCAATATTTGTTCATCAAGTCAGTCTTGATCAGTTGTTATCCTGTGTTTACTGGTAATATTTTCCACGTACAACCAGCTTTTTCTCTTCCAAACATCAACTTAGCTTTTAATAAGAATTCCCAACAGAAAGAGAACTGAATGTCAAACTTGATTCAGCAGAAATATTAGCGTAGAATAATACAGATGAAAGATAACAGTCCTTGAGCTCTTGAGGTGAAAAATACCCCAGTTGATACAAATCAGACCATTGCATGCTGATGACACCTGAGAGGAGGATAACAATCAAATTACATGAACATAATAACTCTCATACACAGAAAATAAAAGAAAGCCAAGACGTTTTTTTTTTATAGTAATGAAAATGCCAAGGTGCATTGCTATCACTACCACGGTGCATGTTTGCTAATGTTCCCTAATGTGTCAGGATCAAGGACACAGATTAAACCTAACAGATTCATATTAAGTTCTAGATAAGCAGAAATCTGTCAAAGTTGTTGCTACCAAGTGAGCAACACCTTCACTTTGATCTGACGAGCAAAAAGGTCAAATGTTACCTGCCAGCAGATGATGACAAAAATTTCTTCAGACGTTTCTGCTGAAGCTAAAAACTCTTTCTCTGTGTATGTTTGTTTCCTCTGTAGGTCTCAGAGGGCTTAATCTCATTAACGCCTTTATTGGCATAAACTGCCACCACCTAGGAGCTTCTTTCACTCACCGCTCTTCCTTTCCACCGCTGCTACTAAGAAGTTCCTTTCGCCCTCTTTTTGATCACCGTTGCCATGGAGAACCTCAGTGAACTCCAGAACCCGCTGCTGGACAAAAACAGTAAGCATATGGTCAACGGTTATGGCGGAGACTTTCCAAATAACCAATACCAAGAAAACATTATTAATTACTTTGCTGGAGGGGGTGGAGGAGGTGAGGGGGAGGGAGGAGGAGGAGGAAAAGGGAGTAATGGCAATGTAATGAGTGGAGGAGGATACAGCACCAACGGGAAGATTAAGTCTCAGCAGTTTCTGGACGCCACCTCGTTGCATCTGGCGGTGGAGGCTTTCTACAGGCCCAACTTCATCCTGTACAAGGAGGACAGCGGCAGCATCAAGGCGAAGGAATACAAAAGTGAGTGCTGTGAGACAACCTTCACAGAGAAGAAGGAAAAGGAGGCATCCAACACACCAGGAGGGGATGCACCTGGCATGGAAGACCCTCAAACCAAACTGCTAGAGGATGGTGAACATGTCAAGATTCAAACAGTTTCATACGAGGTGGAGGAGGAGGAGTATGTGGAGTATGAGGTAAGTGTAGAATAAATGAGAATACCACAAATCATTGTAACTTTTTCCTAAAACTGTTCCAATCCTTTTTAAATATCCATTGTTGTATTTGGTTTAGTAAATGTTTTTAGCAATTACCATTAAAACTGTATATACATTCCATCGTATACCTAAACTTACACCAATAATTTGCTACTGTGACATTTTTATAACCCTACAAGCATACCAAGTTCCTTCAACTTGTTTCCACATTGTTTCTAACAGCTTAACAGTGTTACAGAAACAATACAATTACAGTGTGATATAGCTGACAGTGGTGCTATGACGTGAACTCTGCTTGGAACTATTTCCATAATAATTTCATTTATTTCCTGAACTTACATGCTCCTTTTCGTCAGTTCAGAATAAAGGGACGAGACAGCCCCTGGTTTACTCCAGAGCTAGCTGACCTCCTGCACAGGAGAGATCATCTTTGGGCCGCAGCGAGAAAATCTGACTCAGACACTGATTGGTTGAGTTTTCGACAGATGAGGAATAAATGTACAACTGCTGTCAAAGCAGCAAAACGAAACTATTTCTTATCTCAGACTTCCAAAAATCTAAATGACCCTAACAGATTCTGGAAAACAATTAAATCTCTCTCAGGCACCCCCCAATCATCTGACCTCCCATCACAACTTCTCGTTAACTCTGCTCCTGTGTCAAATAAGCACGAGATCCTGAACTGTTTCAACAAACATTTTGTTGCTTCTAGTTCTTTATTTGACACAGTTACTAATGGAAGATCAGCCACTTCACTTAATAACCAAACTTCTACAAATCAAATCCCTCCTACAAGTCAATCCTCAGTTAATCACACCTTCTCTTTTTCTCCATTCTCAGTCAGTGAGGTCAATAAACTGTTAAAAGATCTTGATCCTAAAAAATCTGCAGGTCCAGATGAACTTCCACCTTATTTCTTAAGGCTGGCTGCTCATATCATCACAGTCCCTGTGACCCACATCTTCAATCTCTCCATGAGACAAAACTCCATCCCAGACACTTGGAAAACAGCCTTTGTTCTTCCTTTGCTGAAGGGAGGAGACCCCACCTCACTGAACAACTATCGACCAATCTCTAAACTCTGCATTTTAGCCAAGGTTCTAGAAAAACTGATAAACTCTCAAATCAAAAATTACCTGGACTCATTTAACATCTTACCTCCACATCAATCTGGTTTCAGGAAACAACACAGCACAACCACTGCTTCACTGAAGGTTCTTAATGACGTTGTTGAAGCACTGGATGCTAAGGATTATTGTGCTGCACTTTTCTTAGACCTGTCTAAAGCTTTTGACACTGTGGATCACAACATCTTGTGTCATAAACTCTCTGAAATCGGTTTCTCAGATCACACCATTGGTTGGTTCTCTAACTATCTTTCAGACCGGAGGCAATGTGTTCAACATAATGGTACTTCCTCCAGTTATTTAACAGTCAACAATGGTGTACCACAAGGCTCAGTCTTAGGACCCACCCTCTTTACAATCTACATACATAATGTAGGTAAAAACATCCCTAATGCATCCATACATTTCTATGCTGATGACACAGTTGTTTATTGTCGAGCTAAAACAGTTGCTAAGGCTTTCCAGCTTCTGAAATCTGCATTTAACTACATCCAGACTGATTTGTTTCACCTCAAACTTGTCCTAAATGCCGAAAAAACCAAAGGGATGCTTTTTTCAAATAGGAAGTTGGTCCCAGCAGTTCTTCCTCCGATTTTATCCTCAAATGGTGTCCCCATTGAGTTTGTTGATTCCTATAAATATTTGGGTATCTTGGTCGACTCACATCTTTCTTTTAAGCTCCATGTGGAAAACTTGGTAAAGAAACTGAAAGTTAAACTGGGTTTCTTTTTCAGAAACAGATCCTGTCTAACCCTGAATGCTAGAAAACGCCTTGTATCTGTGACTTTCCTTCCCTCAATTGATTTTGGTGATATTATTTACATGAACGCTCCTACAAGAACCCTGCAGATGTTGGATGCTGTCTATCATGGTGCACTAAGATTCATAACTGGCTGTGATTATCGTACCCACCACTGCACCCTGTATTCACTGGTTAACTGGACATCATTAGCTTCACGCAGACTCTCTCACTGGTACATTTTCATCTTTAAATCACTTCTTGGTCTGCTGCCTTCATACATCTCCTCCTACATGTCTCTGCGTGAGTGCAGCTACGGAGTGCGCTCTCAGGACATTATTACCTGCAGTGTTCCCTCAGTGAGGACTGAACTAGGCAAAAGGGCCTTCTCCTACTCCGCTCCTGTTTCCTGGAATATCTTACAAAAAGATTTGAAGCTCTCGACCTTGACCTCTCTAAGTGGCTTTAAGAATCTGTTGGACTCCTGGCAGGGACCAATGCAGACATGTTCCTGTTTTTAGTTTTATACATTTGTCTCGGAATCTAGTAGTTTTTTTGGTTTTGTTACCTTTTTCCTTTTAGCCATCCTATTTGTTAAAAAAAAAAAAACAAAAAAAAAACTGTAGTATGAGTTTTTATAACTGCTTATTGTTGTTGCTGTTGTCCATTGTTGTCATCTTTCTTTGTTGAAATCAGGTCTCTCTTGTAAATGAGTCCTCGAGGCTCAATGGGATTTACCTGTCTAAATAAAGGTTGATTGATTTGTACAAGTTAATCCCATTGATCCTCAGGGACTCATTTACAAGAGAGACCTGAAATGTTGCTATGTTGCTGAAATGTTACATTGCAGTAGATACCCTGCTTTGTGTGTTTTGTACTTTGTTATTTGTCTTGTATGGTACAGTCCTGGTTTTAGAACAACAATGTTGCTGCTACATTTATAAAATGGGATAAATTACTTTGTATTTAAAATCTAAAAAGAAAAAAGTCTTAACAGATTTATTGCAAGAATGTTGTGGCAGTGTTATTTTCAATACTTTATTAATCACTTGAATGCTAAACGTTACTTTACAACAATTTAATAAGTAAAATTTTAGATATTGTCACCAGCATGTAACTATAACATTTCTGCTAGTTATCTTCAACTTTAGGGTAATGCCACAACAATCCTTTATGTCATTGATTTTATTGCATGTGTTATTGAGCGCTAGGCTCTGACCAGTCCTTGAGTCAGGCCTGGGTAGAGGCTCATTGGCAAGCACCTGATGACTGAGGCTCTAACCATAGGGCCCGGTCAGGCTCAGCTGTAAATGAGTTATGTCAGTTTGCCTTCCTGTGGGCCGACCACCTGCGCAGGAGGAGTTGCTTTCCAACTCCAGAACAAGCTAAACTTAGTTGCGTACTCATTTCTGTAGCAATCTGTTTATTGTGTACCTTACTTCTCGTCTTGTAGCAGTATAGAATTCCACAATTGTTCTGGAGCAGCTGTGGTTGGGTGGTTAGAGCAGTCATTCTCCAGTGGGAGAGTTGGGTGTTTGACTCCACCAGCAGTCACATGTTGAAGTGTTCTTGGGCAAGACACTGCCTCATTGCCTCCTATGTGTGTCCCATAGGTGTATGAATGTGATAAAGCACTGATTAGTCTTTGTATATAGTAGAGTGCTGTATGAATGTATAAATGAGGGCACAGATTGCAGTGTAAAGCACTTTGAGTAGTTTGATAAGATAGAAAGGCATAAGTGCAGTCCATTTACCATTTACCATTCTGTGACAGAACAAAAGAATAAATGTATAAAAATAAAAAATAAATCAATTTTGAATTTTGATCGACTTATACAATAATGTAGTTGTCATCCCATAATGGATGTGGGAAACATGGTGGCCTTGGAATAAGAAAAGTCAGGGGTTTGACTCCTGGCACAGACCTTTCAAGGAGAAGTTTGCATGTGTGACTGTGAGCAGGCATGGTTGTTTCCATATGACCCAGTGATGGAATGGTAACTTGTCAAGATGAGATGGATGGATGGATGAATGGGTGCTTGATTTGGTTGATAGATAGATAGATAGATAGATAGATAGATAGATAGATAGATAGATAGAAAGGTAGGTAGGTAGGTAGGTAGGTAGGTAGGTAGGTAGGTAGGTAGGTAGGTAGGTAGGTAGGTAGGTAGGTAGGTAGGTAGGTAGGTAGGTAGGTAGGTAGGTAGGTAGGTAGGTTGATTGATTGTTTGATTGATTGATTGATTGACTCATAATCCCAAGTCTGTGTTTGAGCTCATGTAGCATTAGGAAGGTGTAAGCGTTATTCAAAGCTCTGAAGCAGGCTCTGAAACAAATGTGCACAGTATTATTGTAGGTTTATTGTACAGATAAGTGGAAATCACAAACTCACATGACGTCTGCCCATTTCACCTGAACAGCCGCCTCGTTTACAGAGCGCATCACATTTTTCTTCATAAACTGGTCACACCCCTTGGTGTTGTCATCTTCGCTCATAGGACAGCCTACTCTTACCACGTGACCAGTCTCTCAGCCAATAATACTTCCATCATTGATGTAAACAATCATGTGTCAGGCTTGTTGCAGAGTGCAGGCATGTAACTAAAACTCCTTCCTACCGGAAACAAAAACTCTGAAATAAAGGTTCTGCATCGGTTTAATATTCATTTATACTGCAGACCGTAGGTGTACACAACTTTCAGTAACATAACCAAATATAATACTGATAGAAATATATTTCAAAGGGCATGCAACATAAAACTATTGCCAAATTTTTATTGAGTTCACTCGCTGTAGTGATCCCTGCAGAAGGAAACAGCCAATAGAAAACAAATTTGCAAATAACTTCAGAATTTCACCTGATAGGTTACTATAAACTGAAATGTGTAACATTTCAGCAACAAATAAAGTTATGAAATTAACGTAACAACATTCTTGGAGTGAAGTTGTACAAGTAGACAAGGCTGTATCAAAACAAGCATGAATAATGACTTGCTCTTTGCATTGAATTAGAGTCAGATCCATTGTATTTCTACGGTGTTTGTACTATTTCTTTGCATTTTAAAGGATCAAACTCAGCTCCTTAATCAGACCGACATTTTGCTAAGTACAAA